GGCAAATCCCCCAAGGGAGTTTTCCATGTGCAGCCAAATTGATCGCCAGGAATAGCTACTGCTCCTTGTCCCTGTCTGTTTGCTTCCAATAGTCTGTCTGCTCCCAAATCTTCCTCTCCATTTTCAGGATATCTGATACAGGTGTTAGGATTGTTGATTGATGGATTTCATATTCCTTGTCTACACACCATTTAGACACTTTAATGGATGTGATAATACTGTGAACACTAACAATTGATTAGGCAGCACTTTTGTCCATCCAATCCTTGCAGGGGCTGGGGCAGGGTTGATGGTGGGGGCTGCCGCGGGGGCTGCTGCGGGGGGTGCCGCGGGGGGTGCCCAAGCCTCTGCCAGCCTACCCAATGTGGATCAACTACAGGATCACTTTCCAAAGCTTCTGTACTGCAACCCGAGTGACTTCCAGGTTACCTTTACCCAATTCCAGTGACACAACTTGCCTGCTCTTGTTTCTGGCCGACAATTGATTTTATAAGCTTGAGTGTGTATGTGCACTTTTTGGTGGGAAAGGAGGCCATTTGGTGAGGGGCAGGGCACCGAAACATTGTCAAATACCACATTAAACATGACCAGTGGCTTACATCTCTTCAAACTGGCCCCTATCTCATGTTTATCAAGACCCTATTTTTCGGACCCATTTCAAGTTTTTGAATGGTTCCAGGGTCCAGGGCTCTCAGAATTTGTTTCAGACACTGCCAAGGGGTATATCATTCAGCTGTATTGAGTTGTTCATTTGTAGAAAATATATTTTTTGCAATACCCAAAGTGAACTATGTTGAACCATTATCTATGTAGGAACCTTGAGCAACTGTGAACTGTTTTCATGTTTCGAATTTTGGATGGACAAATGATATGAAATACCTACATATTCAACAAGAACAGCATAGGGAGACCTTATTCCGATGGTTTTCAGCTGCATAACTGTAGAAACAGTGTCAGAAGAGCAGGAAACACTTAGGTACGACGTTTATACAGGTTCTGATTGGCTGGTGACTTGACGTGTTCCGAGCTGTCAGATTATGTAATCTTACATATGAGAAGATGGCAGGGGCAAGGCACCGGTGCAGCGGGGGGTGTGGCAGGGGGTGTCAGCCTGGCGGGGGTGCATGCGGGGGTGCAGTGGGGGGTGCCAGTTTGGCGGGGGGTGCCTGCAGGGGTGCCAGTGGGGGTGCAGGTAGAGTTGCAGGCAGTGAGTTATGGCAAGAACGTATACAGTCCCAGTAGCAAAAGCAATCATGTATGTTTCTGCAGTTTGTCTTGCAAGTATCCAAGCTCTAAGTGGAAAGAATTTTGTATATGAAATCTGAATTCATGCTCAATCTCTGGCTATTGTGAGACAACTTATTAGTGAGTTAGTTCATCCTCTTATATACGACCCAGGAATGAATTGAGGGCATGTCAAATCCGCTATGTTCCATCTGTTCATGTTGCAGCTTGAGAAAATCATTTGCAAAGCATCACAGAACTTCTGATTTTCAATGAGTCCCAGTCAGGAAGTGAGACATTCAATGTGTACTTGACATGTGGTACAATGTGCCGCAGGGTAAGATTACACTGTGCTAACAGTGTGAACAATTGACTAATAGCCATGTATGTAGAATGAGCGCACCAAAAAATCAATGAGATGACAGTGGACCCAGTGCAGCCAACCTACCCACCCTGCCGGTCAACACATGAACAAATCATAACTTGTATTTGACCCTACATAAACAGATTATACAGGTGCTATTGCATGTTTTCAATATCCCAGGCTCTGCTAAAGCACAAGGGAATCAAATATCTTTAGCTGCAGACCATACCAAGAAACCCCTGCCAAATTGAAGGATAATTATGTGACATTCTATGGCCATGGCCAGAATAGATACATCGAAATTTGATATAATGCACCCCTGCCCCTGCAGTAGACCTTGCAGTGGGCCCCGCATCTGACCCCTGCATCAATTTCAATGTCTTCCTATAAATTCCCAGTTGGCCTGTTGCCCTGCTCACCTCTACAAGATCTTCAATGAACAAAAATGGATCATAACAGACCAACCCTGGGGCAGCCCCCGCATCACCCCCCGCGGCACCCCCTGCGGCACCCCCCGCGGCACCCCCCGCGGCACCCCCCGCGGCAGCCCCTGCGGCAGGCCCTGCCAAATGATGGGATCAAGTGTGTCACCAATCCCATTGTGCAGGGTGCATTTTGGTTTTTCTAAGCTCAAGTTCATGTTTAACTAGCCTATTTACCTATGGAAATTATACTGGGATGATTTGGGGAGTCTTCCATTTTTTTGGCGGAAAATCACGTGATTTTGCGCCCATTGTCTGCCACAGCATGCAATGTATCAAGCAGCATTTCCAAAATCATGCCAAATGCTGCAAAAAAGGCGCCCAAAAAGTCACGTGATAATGCGCCCACTGCCCGCCATGGTGTGCGGGGGGGTGGTAGTGACCCCGCCAATGACGCCGCCAACCCCTGCCAGCATTTTGGTAATATTTGGTGCAGCGCATCACGTGATTTTTTTATCCCGCCATCCCGCCCATGCAGCGCGTCATGTGATTGGATTTTTTTTTCCCGCCCAGCTACCCGCTCTTATGGACAAGTCACATGCTACATACACCCCCCCTCCTCCTGACCCCCGCATATGCCCCCGCTACTAAATCGACTAAATGGCCCCCCCACCCCCCGCCAGGGGGTACCTACTGGGTACCCTCAGCAAGACGTCTGAGGGTACCCAGTAGGTACCCCGCGGGGGGAGAACCGCGTGATGGCGGTGGTAACTGAGGTGCCCAGTTGGGCATTGGTCCTCGCCTCCAATGTCTCCACTGGCCGGCCCGGCACTGGCCTGGCCGCTGGGCTCCTCCAGTGTGGCCTTCCACTGTTGGTGTCTCAGGAGCTGGCCATCACTGGCCCCTCTGAGCCACTCACTATCTTATCTGGGTTTGTCATTATCTACTTGTCATCTGCCATTGTTCCATGGCAGTGATATCCCATCATCATCAGTCACTTGTCACAGCTGACTATATAGTGTGACACCTGGGCACATGGATCCTTGAACCGTTCTCTAAGGATCCCCCTCTGTGCTCAGGTGAGTAGTATAGTATACCTCCCTTGTATTTGATAGTCTCTAAGGATCCCCCTCTGTGCTCAGACTCATGTGAGGTTGTTGTGTGCTGTGTGCTCTCTTCCTTCGGGCTGGCAGGAGTTGCCCTTACACATGGTTTGGTTCACGGATCTAGCCGTGTCGATTTTTAGTGTGTTTGGGGTATGGGCGCGACTCGCCGTGACACTTGGAAGTGTCACCGCAACGCGTCCACAATGTCCCGTGATCGAATGGATCCTGACATGTGACAAGTCGTCGCCGTGGCATGATCTGAGGAAACGTCCAACCCAAAACCGGGAGTTGCCGCGACAAGATTGGTTCAATCTCGTAACGCCAAGTCCTGTCCAGTAGTAGCTGCATTATTGAGAACATCGCACATTGCTCAGCCCTTCAGCCCAAGTTCCCATCTGCAGAGAATGACCCTTTTGAGAAGTCGCCGCAACCAAAGATCCCTTTTTGGGGAATTGTCGCGGCCCAAGCGTTCGTCACTAATAGCCCTGAGCCTGGTATAGACTCATAAGACCAATTCCACAGTAGTGGTCTGACTGCCTTGCTATCGTCGACACTACCCACAGTCGTCGACTGGGCCATAGACCCTTAAGTCCTACTGAGCGCAACACTGTCAACCGCGACACGATACACCGAATGGTTCGAGAGTAAACTCTGTAAAAAGCGCAAAAATATGCCCTTACAGAGCTGGTGCAGAGCGTGTCTGGTAGCCAGCCTATCAACGTCCTGTCCAAGACTATCGGAAACTGAACAAGATGACCATCAGGAACCGGTACCCACTGCCGCTGATCTCCAAATTAGTTCACAAGCTGTGCACCGCCAAGTTCTTCTTAAAGTTAGACATCTGGTGGGGATACATGTCATGATTCAATCATTTTTCACAATCATTCCATTGATCACCTTATCTTATCATTGACATGGGACTATCTTATCACGGATCACAGCACCACATGGTCCGGGTTTAGGGTTCAAGAGGGTTATCTGCACAAGAGGTTGCATGGTGTGTGCTCCAGAAGTCTATACTACAACCCATGACCAAAGCTCCACACGGTACATAGTCAGATGACTCGTTTGATGTAGATAAGACTCAGACTGGACTTGGTATAAATACAGTAGCCATTGTGTTGTATTCTCCAGTCTTCAAATTCACTTCTCTTTTTGACATTATTTCTTGCTGATTGTCACATAATTCGAAGACTCCCCTCCTACCCTCCTACCTCATACCTCTTACCACTGCATCCCTCACCGCTACGCCCGCTAGCCAAGAAAGAAGCGCACGTTCTTCAACCGGGCCACAATGCTTGAAGAGATCAAGAACGGGGACAAGGACAACAAGTTCCTCAAGGAGATCGCTGAGAAGCTGCACGAAAAGGGTTTTTGAAGCGCTCCACTCCTCTAGCCAAGGAGGTGGAGCGTCCAGACTATGGACGTTTTTCTGTACTTGTTTCGATTAAACATATGAACGATTCTCCTCATACATACACAATCTCAGACTCCCTACGTACTAATATTCATGATTTTCTCGTCGCTGATATGGAGAAGGAACGACAAAGGAAAATAGCTTCAAATAGAGAGTATTTACAGAGTAAAAAGGATCAGAAGGCTGCGGATAAATTAATTTTGGACTCCTACGTATTTATGGCTCGTGGAGAAGGAACCACGTCAACAAAGACCGAAAAGGGGAGCATTGCTCCGGAGGCTCAATCCTTGAAAAAGGAGGAAGCGCCCAAGGAATCTGCCGAAATCAGGGTTCCAGAAACACCCAAACGCACAAGGGTGCTAGATGCCGTTCAAAGGAAATTGGCATCCGAGAGACAGAAGGGCCTGCAGCCCAGCAGGCTGGCGCAGGAACTGCGCGACTACCAGGCCGAAAGGAAGAGACATTCAATGGACGTGTACGTCCAGATCACGGGCCTGGACTCAGGAAAGACACGCGGAGTCAAGGCACTACTTGATAGTGGCTGTAGCACCTGCTGTATCGATACCGACTACGCGCGGGGAGAAAAGCTGGATATCCAAGAACTTCCCCAACCCATTGTGGCTCGTAACGCCGACAACACCGAGAACATCAGCGGTCGGATCACGCATTACGTTGACCTAAGGATGAGAATCGGTCCTCACGTGGAGACACGCACGTTCCTTCTGACGTGTTTAGGGAAAGCTCGGATCTTCATTGGTCTTGATTGGCTGACGGAACACAACCCCGAGGTGGATTGGCAGGAGCAGACAATGAGATTCAGTCGATGCCCAGAGCGGTGTCACATGAGGGGTCATGAGGAGCACCAAGCAATGATCGACATGGATGCAATCGACCTGGCAATGGACAAACCAGATCTGGAAGAGGGAGAATCAATCCTGTTGATCGACTTTGGGAAGGAGGTGGATCTACGGCTGAAGGAAACACCGGCGCAGAAATTCGCAGAAGAAGCAGAAAAAGAGAAGGAGAGAATGACCGAGGGGAAGATTCCGGATCAATATCAGGAATTTGTCAAAGTATTCGCCAAGGAATCGTTCGACTCGCTGCCAGACCAACGGGCATGGGACCATGCAATCGAGCTCAAACCTGGTTCCAAAGCAGTGGACTGTAAGGTGTACCCGTTATCACGAAACGAACAGGTCAAACTCGACGAGTTCTTACAAGAGAACCTGGCCAGCGGACGGATCAGACCTTCCAAATCACCCATGGCATCAGCGTTCTTCTTTGTCAAAAAGAAGGATGGCTCGCTACGCCCCGTCCAAGATTATCGGAAGCTGAACGAAATGACAATCCGAAATCGGTACCCGCTGCCGCTGATCTCCGAACTGGTCCATTGTAAGGGCAACCTCGAGGCCCGATCTCAGAGTCCTGACAAGGGAGAGTCCAAAGCGTCAGATAAGGGGATCGACTAGTACAGGAGACTGGCAAACCTGACAAGGGAGAGTCCAAAGAGAAACCGAGTTGGGGACTCTCCTTGTCAGGGCCCACTATATATAGCCTACAGAACAATGGATGACCAAGCACAATGGAAGCGCCAGACAATGGGGCCAGGGAACAATGAGGGGCCGGATCGGGGGAGAACAATGGGAGCCGGACCGTCGGAACAATGGGGATCTGGGCCCGAGTGTCATGTGGATGCGCTTGGCAGGGAAGTCCGGACCGAAGCATGTGACGCCTGACAGATGGCGCGTGCACGGTCACATGCAAGATCCCAGGATGATCGGACGAAAGCAGGGGTTCCCCTGACATCACCCCCCTTCTTGATTGCGGCGCCTCGACGCAAGGCACGGTTGGGGGTTGACGAGTCCCTGAAGGGCAGCGAGTCAAATACGGCCGCTGCAATGACACGTGGCTTCCCAGGGTATTTGCGGTAAAATGCTGCCACTGCGTCGTCAGCAAACACATCTGAGTGCTTGACCCACTGGTCATGAGATGGGTCATAGCCCTTCCATCGCACTCGGAACCAGACACTCCGGTATCGCATCTTTGCGTCTAGGATCTCCTCCACTTCCCACTCCTCTCCTTCGCCTTGTCCTAGGACAGGGGGTGGTTCTTCGTGACGCGGGCGAGTGGGGAACGGGTCGTCTTCGGCCAACTGGAGCTTGACCACGGGGAAGACAGGGTGGAGGCGAGAGAGGCTAGTGGGGAGGGCGAGCTTGTATGCGCCTTGACCTATGACTTGGGTGACCTTGAAGGGGCCCAGGCGTCGGTGGGAGAGGCCACGAGAGGGTCGCGTTGTTGTGATGTCCGAGGCGTCGAGCCAGACTCGGCTGCCAACCTTGATGTCGGGAGCGGCGGTCCTTCGTTGGTCATAGTACCTCTTGTACTCGTCCTTTGCCTTGACCAGTGCTGATTTGGCCTCGGTTACGCCCGATGCGACCCGATCCAGAAACTCGTTGGCAGACTCTGCTCGGGTGGAACGCTGCTCTGTCGGCTCGAATCCCATGCGTGGTAAGCGCCCTGTGTCCGTCATGAAGGGAACCTGTTGGGTCGAGGAGTGGACGTGGTTGTTGTAAGCAAACTCGGCTGCGGGCAGGAGCTCGTCCCAGTCGTCCTGCTTGTAGCTGGTGAAGATCCGGAGGTATTGCTCCAGCTCCTGGTTGACCCGCTCGGTCTGGCCATCAGTCTGCGGGTGATAAGCAGTGGACGTGGCAGGGGAAACGCCAACCAGCTTCCATAGCTCCCGGGTGAAGTCCGCCACAAACTGAGGGCCGCGGTCAGAGACATACTTGATAGGTAACCCGTGGTGTCGCCAGACATGCTTGTAGAACAACCGAGCCATCCCTTCGGCCGAGAGGCGAGTGTGGCACTCGATGAAGTGGGCACGCTTCCCCAGCATATCAACGACCACCATAATGGCGTCGTAGCCGTGCGCCTCAGGCAGCTCCACGATGAAGTCCACCAACACCGATTCCCAACGTTCCGAGGGGATCTCCGTGGGGTGAAGCTCTCCGGTGGGGAGTCGTCGGAGGGCCTTGGTCCGACAGCACAGGTCGCAGGTGGCCACGTACCGGCCAACATGTCGTGAGAGCTGGGGCCACCAGTAGTTCCGGGAGACCAGCTCCAGCGTCTTGAAGCGGCCAGCATGCCCCGCAACGCGGGTGTCATGATGTTGCTCAAGGATGCGTCGCCGTAGGTCTCTGTCACGCGGGACCACTAGCTTCCCACGGAAGTAGAGGAGGCCGTCCTGGATGCGCCATTCCGCTGCTACAGCGGAGCGGGCCCCCTTCATCCCTTTCAGAAGCCGTCGCGCTATAAGCGCAAGTTCTTCCTCAAGGTCAGGGTCACCGGAAAGCGATTCCCGAATGTCACGGACAAGCGGGGCTTCCGGGCCAGAGACGGAAAGTCCCTCAAGTGCACGCACATGGAACAGTTCCGGCCTCAGCAGGGTGACATCTGTGTTGTCCGAGGGGGCTCCGTGGTCCGGGCGTCGGGAGAGTGCGTCTGGTCGTCCCATGAGCCGGCCAGGTTGGTGGTGGAGCGTGAAATCGAAGCGGGACAAGTAGAGCGACCATCGGGCTTGCCGGCGATTGAGGTTCTGGGCCTTGCGGAAGTACTCCAAGTTCTTGTGGTCGGTCCAGATTTCCACGGGGTATTCGGCGCCTTCCAAGAAGTGCCGCCACTCCTCCAGCGCACGTACAATCGCGAGCATCTCCTTGTCGTGGATCTCGTAGTTGCGTTGGACGTCGTTAAGGCTCTTGGAAAGGAAGGCGACTGGGTGCCACTTGTCGTCCGAGGGGGACTGCTGTGAGATGACGGCTCCTGTGGCAAAATCGGAGCTATCAGCCTCTAGGCGATAAGGACGAGAGGAGTCTGGGAGGAGAAGAACCGGTGTAGAGGTGACTGCATCCTTCAAGGCCTGGAACGAAGCGGACTCGTTGTCGCCCCAAGACCATGATACGTCCTTCTTGGTGAGGTCGAAGAGCGGGCGCGCGACGTGGGAGAAGTCCCGAATAAACCTCCGGTAGAAGTTAGTGAACCCAAGGAACTGCTGCACTTCCTTCTTGTTAGAGGGAGCCGGCCATTCGGCTACTCCTGCCACCTTGACGGGGTCCATCTCGACGTGGTTGTGGGAGATGATCACGCCAAGGTACTCGATGGACTCCATCTCGAATTCGCACTTCTCCGCTCGGAGGTACAGCTTGTTTTTGCGAAGGCGTCGGAGGACCTCGTTCACGATACGACGATGGAGGTGAAGGTCGGAGTGCGCGATGAGGATGTCGTCCAGGTACACCATGACGTCGCCAGAGAGTATGAGGTCCTGGAGGATGTCATTCATCATAGTCTGGAACGTTGCAGGGGAGTTGGTGAGGCCGAAATACATCACCAGTGGCTCGAAGAGCCCGCGGTTAGTCCGAAATGCAGCCTTCCACTCATCTCCTTCTCGTATCCGTACGTTGTTGAAGCCCCATCGAACATCGAGTTTGGTGAAGAAGCGGGCTCCCTTGAGCTTATTGATCAGGTCGTTGATTAAGGGGAGGGGGTACCAATTCTTCACTGTCATTGCATTCAGTGCCCGGTAATCTTGGACAAACCGTAGACTGCCGTCTTTCTTTTTGACAAAGAAGACCGGGGAGGCCATAGGGGACTTCGAGGGTCGGATCCGGCCGGTGGCCATGCCTTCTTCAATGAAAGCGTCAAGCTGCTTCTGCTCCAAAGGGGAGATAGGGTAGACCTTGCAGTTCGTTGGCTTTGCGTCGGGCACCAGTTCGATGGTGTGGTCCCAGGGGCGACGTTCCGGAAGGTTGTCAAAGGACTCCTTGCTGAAAACATCCTTGAACTCACGCGCCCACTCGGGTATGGAATCCCGAGGGGGGGCAGAGTTCTTGGCAAACGCCTCCGCAAGACGCTGGGAGACGGTGCTAGTGGCTCGGATGTCTTCAGAAGGGTTGAAACGGGTGTAGAGGATACGGTCACTGGTTTCCAGACAATCTTCTTCTTCGTCGGAATCTTCTCCGTCGTCTTCCTGGAGCAGTGGCATAGCCTCGTCTTCGCGGTCTTCAATATCAACGACGCAGATGGAGGGGGCAGGGCCTTGTCGGGCTGATCGGAGTGCTCGGGCCGAGATCCGGGCTATCCGTCTCTCTTGGCGAGACTCCTCGGTGCAGGTGGAGCAGCCCGATGGGCAGCGGCTCATCTTTACCTCCTGGGTGTCCCAATTGATCTCCGGGTTGTGCTTCCGAAGCCAGAAATAGCCGAGGATCAATTTCTGCTTGCCAAGCCGAGTGACGGCGAGCTGGACACGCTCGCTGTGTCCTTGGTAACGCAGGACCACATCGGCAACTTGTCGGATGGAGCCGGCTTCATTTGGCGTGCCGTCCACGTTGTAGACTGGGATAGGCTGGGAGAGCTGCCGGACCGGAAGTCGGTTTTCGGAGGCGTAGGTGGAGTCGATGAAGTCCGACGTGGCGCCGCAGTCAACCAGTCCGTTGAGGGTGAGCTGGACTGCGTTGTCGGTGGACTGGATCTCTAGGGGGAGGTGCAGGGAGTTGGCGCCGGGGGAAGCTGCGACCACGTAGCGCTGAGGGAGTTTTCGTTCCCACTTTTCCTTGCGGACCAGCGGGACAGAGCGAGGGGCAGGGGGTACGTCTATCGTTTCGTTTGCGGGGGAAATGAGGTCGCATTCATCATACAGACATTCAAAACGATTACGTGAGGCGATCGAGGGCGTACTATTCACTTGTCGCGGGGGAGAAAACCCTGCTCCAACTCGTTGGCAATCTCCGCTTCGTGATCTTCTACAGCCGCTGTAGTCGCTAGCCGGGCCACTAATTCCGCCAACAGGTCGCTTCCCAGCTGATTGATCACTTCGTCCAGGACGTCAGCGTGCCGGACATCCACGGGGGTCGGGCAGTCTCGGGCCAGGTGTCCTGGGCTGCCGCATCGGAAGCAGGTGCGACGAACACCGGTGCGGGCTCTGGTTCGGTCGATCTCCATGGGAATGCCCGGTGGGAGGACTACTGGGGCTGGTCGGGGAGCAGGAGGTGGAGCAACCACCGGAGCAGCCACGGGGCAAGGGCGGGGGGCCGCAGGAGGCGGAGCGCGGGATGGAGAGAACACCTGTCCTCGTGCAGCTCGGGCAGCCACCTCGGCGTTGTACTGGCGGAATGCGCGGGTACGCCACTCCGAGTAGTTTGTGAGGCTAGGCGGGTTACCGGAGGTCGTGATCGCCTGATTGATTCTGGGGTCCAGACCCGCCCGGTACTTGGTGACCTTGACCAAGTTGTCAGAGTAACCCGCCAAGTCGAGAAGGTCGTCGAACTCGTCCGTGTATTTGAACACGTCGCGGGATCCCATGTAGTAAGCGTGGGTCTCCAGTCGTGCCAGGGCGTGGTCTTGCTTGTTCTCCTCGACAAACTGGAGCTTGAACTCGGCCACAAAGGAGGACCAGGTTGGAAATGGGAAGACGAGG